TTTAGAATGAGTGGAACGAATCAAGATCTCACCGTGAAAATAGACAAGGATGTTATGTAAAACGAAAATAAGATGTTTTAAGTTCAAGAAACAAAACATGAAAAGTTTCAATATAAAATTTTGTTTAGCAGTGAGATTCGATGCGCTCACAGAAGGACAAGGAGATGATGTGTTAACAAATGCAACTGCACACGTCTACAAGGTAATAGTATTGCAAATTTATCGTAAATTGCACTCTTGAATCTTTGAACGATGTAAAATGTGAACCAAGTAGTTTATCAAAAAATAATATTTAGAGCTGTTTCCAGAAACAAATGAAATTGCAAAATGAAATTTCTCTTAAGGGTGTAGAAGGGACAATCAGTTTGGGTATCTCTTCATCAAGAAACGCCGTTGGAGCTGACCAATCGTCCATACAAAATCATGCGCTGGGACAAATAGGACTTTTAAGTGGGTAAAAGAAGTATTTGTATTTTTTGTACGACTAAATCAAAGATAATTCTGTTGTTTATTCCTAGAATATGAATATTTTAAGTCACTCTTATAAACTTCGCCATGACCAAGCGCTTGGTCGTTGAAGGGATCAGAAAACTCAACTGTATTGCCTGGTTCTATAAATCAAATATTATTTTAGTCATTTAGTTCTGAACGCTACGGGAAATGTGAATGCACAGGGTCAGCGCGCAAACTCCGCATCAGAGATAACGGCAGCAGATTATGGTGGCAATAAATCGGTCTCCTCTATTCAGAAGGTCTCTTAATTTCCTGAAGCCATGATTTTTAAGTTATCAGAATTTCAGTATTAAGGGAGAAGCAAGTGGAACAGGTGACACATTAGTGCAGGCGAATGGTGGAGCTGTTATGTCTAACTATGGATTCAATAGCCCTCACAGGTGAGGATTTTGTGCACTTTTGATGATTTGCTTCTGAGGTTCAGTACAGTAACGGTCAGCTCAGCTTCTCCATACGAGCGGTTTGTTGGCAATGGAGCGTGATTATTAGCTGCTCATCATTATCAGCCATTAGCCAATCATTAATCCCATTACTAATAAATCGCCAAGGGAGGGAGGAAGTGTGAGATAATCGTCCTTAAACGTTTCTGTGCTGACCTCTTTGAAAGCAAATTTTGTACTATTTTGTAAATAGCCTCACAAACTTCTGTGAGCGTTGTGCTAAATTCAGAACATCCAGAAAAAATGTGGAAGGGCGGACTGGATCCATACTAGTACAATGATTCAAAAGAATGCTGTAACCAGCTCCTTTATTTTGCTATCGATCACTTCTTTGCTAATTTTTCCGGTCAATTTTACCACAGCTGACCAGAAAATTTAAATGATCAAAATTGACCAGGAATGACCTCCATGCTGACCTCTGACCTGGAAGGACCTTCATGCTGACCTCGGTAAAAAAGATGTTTGGGAAATATGCAAAGTGTGCTCAGCGGAACAGGATAGTCGAGAAGGTCCTCGCGGTACTTCTTTAGACTTCTCCTTCCTTGCGCTGCTTCTAGAAGTTGCACCTGCCTGTACTTTCGGAGATCTTCTTGCAAAGTTGTTCTGCAACTGGCATTAGCTACCAGTCGCTCGAGATGTGATGTAGTCGGATCCAGCCTCAATGCTCTCCTTCTCTCTAGCAGATCCTTGGTGGCTTTCGAAATTCGTTTCAAGTTCCGTTCGAGGCATTGAGGCACTTTCACCACAGGCTTTCAGTCCTCTGAGAAGCAGATCGTAGTCCTTCGTTG